CTTCAAACGCTAATCTAAAATTATTTATGAAAAATCGCTATATAAATTCCCTTGTTAACCCAGGACATTCTGTAGGAGTTATTGCAGCACAATCTATTGGAGAACCAAGTACTCAAATGACCTTGAATACTTTTCATTTAGCAGGGGTTGGAGGGAAAAATGTCACATTAGGAATTCCTAGGTTAAGGGAAATAGTTTTGGTGGCAAGCAAGTCGATTAAAACCCCGATCATTACGGTTCCAATTATCTGGGAAACTCTAAGTGAAAAAGAATGCTTTGCAAGTATAGATTTGGGTCATTCAAAGAATGTAAACAATGTCTGGGAAACTTCATGCACTCTTACTACTCTAGAAAATGCTTTTAGGAAAATAACTCTTTTGGAATGCTTGGAAAAGATTTCTGTTGAAGAACAAACTGTTGTTCGAAAAGGGGAATTCAAAAAGCACATATCCATTACGTTTAAACTACGAGAGTTACACAACGAATGTGCAAAAGTTATCGATATGAACTTTTTAGCAAAACTGGGAAAAGAAATAAAGAAGAGAACCTCTGAAGTGGGGATTTCAGAACTTAGAACCTTTTCATCTAAAGATACAGAGAGAGATGGAAGTGACAGTAGTGATGATGATAATGATTCAGAGAACGTTCCAGCAAGATTTACTGATGACGAAGAAAAGGTAAGGGAAGATATTAATGACGTATCAGGATTTTTAGCAGAGATTCCTGAGGATGAAGAGATGTATGATATATTGGAAGAAGAAACTAAATTGGATAATTTGAGGAAAGTGAGTTTTGATACATTTGTATTGGATATTTATTATTCCTCCGATTTCCGAGTACTCCTCCTGCCCATCATAGAGTTGATTGCTAATAAATTGGTTGTTAGAGAAGTGAATGGCTATACAAGAGCTAGAGCAAATAAGGATTCACTTGTAATTGAAGGCTCTAATTTTGGAGAGCTTACATCTGTCTGTGGAAATATTGATTTACTTTGCCATCTTGACTTTTATAACAGTAAGTCAAATGATATATATGCTATTTATAAATATTTTGGAATAGAAGCAGCCAGAGATGCTATTGTTAGGGAAATAGCAGCAGTTTTTGATGTGTATGGCATTAGTATCAACATTAGACATTTATATCTTGTGGCAGACTATATGACCAAAGATGGTGAATATAAAGCATTCAATAGAGGAACATTCACCATGGATAATTCATTCCTTCAAAGAATGAGTTTTGAAAGCTGCTTTACAAACTTAAAAAACGCAACACTTTTTCATCAAATTGATTGTCTTAAAAACCCATCTGCAGCCATTACAATGGGAAATGAAATTAGTAATGGAACAGGTTTGTTTGATATTCTTTATGATATGTCAACAGTGGAATAAAATAGTTTAAAGTATTTTTGAATGTACAAATAACTTGTAACATTATAGTTTGATTGATATGAATTTATCTGGAAATAGCCTAAAAAATGTAAAGACTAAAGCTGAGATAAATAATTTCTTAAATCATGTATTATTTTCCTAATCAATCCACAATAAGTAATGTTAATTAAAAATTGCATGGATTTCCTAGAATAAATCGTTTTTATACTTGGAGGGCTTAGGATTATCCTGTTTTAGAAGAGTAAAATTGCAAACTTGTTACTTTTCTTTAAATATCATATTTAAGCAACAATTTTCCCTCCAAAAATCTAGTTTATTGCATTTTTTTGAAAGGGTTATAATGGCGAATCCTTTAGAAATTGAATTAGAACTTGGAGAATCGTCTGTGCTCTGGAAGATAATTTACCAAAGTAAGAAGATTTCCAAGGCTAAGCTTGATGAAGTAAATATTTCAGAGATTCTCCTGAGTGTTTCCAAAAAGAATATCTCATTCAGATCTGCAGCCATAATACTATTATCATTGGCAAAAATATCATCGAGACAATGCAAGGGAATAATAGATGATTGTCGTCGTTTTTTATATGCTATGTCTGGAAAATCTAGAAATTTTAAAACTTCAGACATTGGAATGAAGAATTTGAAATCCAGATCAGCAATTCGTCAAGATGAAATTTCAGAACTGAATAGTAGTGTTCTAGAAGTAGAAGACGATATGATAGGACCTATTATGTCCTTTGGAGATTTAGGCATCGATCATGTGGATATGCTACCAGATGTCGAACAGGTAAGAGAAAGTACCCTGATTAGTGATTCAAGCATATCATTTGATTCTATAAATCCAGATCAAAGTTTTAAAAGACGTAAAATAATTGAAGATAAAGTTGCAGAATTGAGCATATCAGAGTTTAGAAAGCTACAAGGCCAAACAACTGGTCTTTTACAAAAACCTGCACAACACATTCCAGCAGATATATCGATGGAAGAATTATTTATCCATCCAGACATATTAAATATGATTAAGCAGGAGATTTTAGAGATTAGGAACAATGAGATAGAGAGACTATCGAGCTTAGATAGTGACAATATAGATGCTGGCTTTGATTTTGGTAGTATGAACCATAGTATTGTGCATGACTGTTCAACTCAGAGTGAGTCACAGTCTGTAATTAAGTTGGAAGATTTAGAGATGGAATTTGTTTTTAACGAGATTGTTAAAGATTATTCTCAAAATTTCAAAGCATCTGCATTCTTTGAAATTCTCACAATGGCCACAAAAAATGAGATTGACGTTACACAGAATGGAATGTATGCTCCAATTCTTTGCAAAGTAATAAATTAATTGTAATCTACTTCCATTAAAATTTTGAATCTTCTTAGCATAATCACGTCTTTTTGTCATTAAAATTGTAAATATGTCCCAAAGTAACAGAGATACGATACCACATAAAAAGAGCTTTATTATTTGTAAAAATGAAATTAATTTATTAATTGTAATTGTTCATAATTTTGGCAACTTCATTCTTAAACTCCAAGGTAGAAGTAAATTCCTGAATCTTAGAACTTCTCTCGGTCTGCATCTTTGCAGATTCTTCTTCTCTCTTTTTCAAATTCGTTGTAATGTCTTTTGCGAGATCACTATATTTCCATCCAAATTTGCTTAAAAGTTGCCCAAGTGTACAAAACTTCCTTTCTGGATTGGCAGTAATACTCAAAAGTGCTTCTGGGAACATAACTCTTTCAACACCCTCAAATTGCTTAGGAATAGCTTCAAATGTGGTAAGTCTTGCAAGGGCAGATCCTCCTCGGTTAGTCTTACGAGGTACCATGTTTCTCATAAGTTTTATGAAATATTTAGAAGGCTCTTTGTAGTGAAATGCTCCCCTAGCAGGATTAACAATACATCTCTTGTTCTTGTATTCTTTATACTTACCAACATGACGATATAGAGGCCCTGTAAAGATACAGTTTTCGGTTGCCACTACAGTGATGGAATATCCTTCTAGAAGTTTCTTAGCAACAGCAGCAGCTAATTTTCCCGCAACATGGCCAGTTGCATCTACAACAATTTGTTTATTATCCATTGGGGCAATTTTTTCAAAAATTTTTACAAATAAAATCTTCATAGAAACGGAAAAGATAAGGCTTCAAATAACAACCTAGTTCTAGGACATATTCTATGTAAATGGAAAACTCAAATACAATTAAGAAATGCATTTTTATAAATGCCTGGAATTTGTATGCAGAAGAACAAATTGTCGGATAATCTCTATATAACGTTGAAATGAACAGAAGAAATGTATCAATAGTGCTATTCGATGGATTTATTTAAAAACTCAACTTATTCTATATTTATATAATATTCTATTGTTATTAAAAAACCAATCATTTTTATGCTTTAATCAGTGCAATCTATTTTTTATTATCATATAGCTGCAAATCTTGTTATGTCAACTGAAAAATCAAGTAAATCTCGGGATATTTGCGGATATACGCTATCTTTATTTAATCATTTCATTTCAATAAAAACCTATACATAATTTACCCATAAAATGTCTTCTTCCTCTTTTTCTTCAGATGAACTGGACATAGAAATTGTCAGTGGCAAGCCAAATATTGAAGAGGTTGATCTGATTTTATCAAATTGTAAATATATTACCCAATTTTCCGATTTTTTTGAAAAATTAGAGAAGGTGTCATATATCAAAAGCGATGATACAATTTTGGGAATTATCGGATTTGTAAAATTCAATAATATTAGCCAGCATATTTATACTAAAAAGACTATAAAAATTCCAGGACTAGATAGTCATAAAATAATATGTCATGACTCTCTTTGGCTTCTTTTCAGTGAAAGAATCTGTAATTTGCCCTTACAATATGTAGTACAACTTTACAATGAAATCGATTTAACTTTTCAAAGATATGCAATAGTTTCAAAAACACAACAACTTTCAGGGCCTCAATTGAGAGAGATCAGCCATACATTTCCTGAAATTGATAAAAATGAACTAAAATCAATTCCTATCAAACAGGAAGAAATATTCTTGTTAAAATACAAAAGATCTGTGTTTTCAGTTTGTGGAGAGCCTTACAATCTATTTGTTCTGTCGAATGAAGAGTTGAAAGAGTATTTAGAAAAGATAAAGTTTGAAGTAAATTCAGAGAATTGAATAAATAAACCTTGGAACCTGATATATCACCATCGATATTTAGCTTATTAGTAAGACATATCAGATTTTGGTTTTTCTATTTGAATATCCTTTTGAAATCACTGCAAATATGACTTGAATAATCAGCTATTAAACGTATACTCAATTTTATATTGTTAATATTATTTCTGGTATCAATAATTCTTTTTTCGCCCTTAAAATGTCTTCTGATTTTATGATTGACGATGATAAAAATTTGTTTTATAAGAATAAGTTCATCCAGAAGTTACGAAAAAACATTTACAAAATCGTGGATAATGGTGAGTTCTACTTTATTTTAGATAGTTTTGGAGATTGCTTTAAAGTGAATATCTCTAGGATTGATGAGGTTGTTAAATCGGTAGAAGAAAGCACGGATAATAATTTATTTAAGTTTATCTTTGGAATTTTAGGAATGCCAAAATATTTTGATTTTTTTTATGAGAATTTAGTGGTGAGAGACAATTTCAACCGAATATTCATTTATACCCATACTGGGCAACTGGTGAGGGTACTCCATTTTAAAGATATCATGACAGACATAACAATAGGTAAGAAACTAACAATCAGATTTGAAGATAATGATGAATTTACAGAATTTGATCGAAGTATAACTATAAATGAAATATAAATTCGATTTTGCAGACATTTTTATTATGTATTTATTTTGATAAATTTTTATTATGGATCCATACAAAAAGAAAGGAAAGAATTGCATTTAAAAATGGAGAATAGGGGGGTTGAACCCCTGACCTCTTACATGCTAAGCAAACACTCTACCACTGAGCTAATTCCCCATAGCAACCTGGAAATATTACTATTTCAAAGCAGCTATATCTCCTTTCGTGAAACAACATATGCACGGAATCAATCTTTGAGCATGGACAAGATAATATATCTAGCTCAATTATCCTGTTTTTTAACCATAAAATGTTTTTTGATTGAACAAATATATGGGATGGATACAAATACTAGGTAACATTATAAAGCTTGCCAGTCTGCTCTTTACAGAGGTAGAAACATATACTTTTTATTGATTGCTTTTTTCGGAAAAATGGAAACTTGTCTCTTGAGGTCGTATCAAAATATATATCCAGTATTGTGTGATAGACGAAATGGAAATCAGTGCTACTAGCATGAAATAGGATCTTATAACATTCCAATCATTTAATATAAGAGTTAAGTCAAACAATAGATACTTTGGAATAAAAAAATATGTATAAGGAAATGATAGTGAATAACAAAAATGTAATAGATAGAATATACCACCAAATGCAAATACACCTATGGAGAACACTTTGTCATGTGTTTTTATCATATGATGGCACAGTTTAAAGGCAATTTTCGTCAATATCAAATCGAAGATGGCTATACAGGCATCCAATCTATCCCTATCCATGAAATTTGAGCCAATAGCCTTGTTCAGAATAGTTTTTGCTATAACGGTAGTAAGTGCATATATGAATCTGCCCACCATCACAAACTTTCTGTTCTTAGATAATTTATACATTTTGTATAGAATAAAAGAACAAAAGAGTGCTGCAATCGCATGAACAATAACCTCAAAATTAAAAAATAAGCTGTTTTCGATCTTTAACTTACTATCTATAAGATCATGATCATATGGATGAGTAACGATATTTTTAGGATTGGAGATCGGAATATCATTTGCACAGGCTACACTATGGGTATTATCTATTGATCCATCATAAATATGATTGTTTTTTGATACATTAAAACCTAAATATTTTTTTGATGTTTCTCCTAACAGATTGTGTATAAATTCTGTGAATCCATACAGTAAGTTGTATAAAATAATTGTTTGCAGAAAAATAAAGGAAACGCCATAGGTGTTAATTCCTATCAGGGTAATGTATATTGAAGCAAATATGGTTGCAAAGATTTGTAATTTGCTTGGATTAGTGTGACAAAGTTTAAGAATTCCCTTGGATTCGTAAAATGGGCCATTTAGAGCATTTAAACAGAAGTCAACTAGTTCAAAAATCATGAAGGGGTTGAAAAATAACAAGCTGGAAAATCTATAATATTTATTGTAGTTATGAGGAACAGCTGCAATAAATATATCTACTAGGCCTTTTCCATGAGATAATAGCCATGATGGATATCTTGGAATGCTTATATCCCCGTCCAATACTGTATACAAATAAAGATATCACTATACTATAGGTATTATATAAGATTAATACATGCTCATATGCTATACATTCATTTATATTGTAGATTTTTTTATTTGCACCATGCAGTTTTATCATTCTTTTTTTAAAATTTTTCTCGCCCTCATCTATGTTTGTACAATCTGCAGAAATGTATACTGTCAAAAGATTTCTCCATCTGAACAAGGGAATTGTTATTCCGTTCACTACCTTGGGGGTGCATGAAGTTTTATCCATTCAGAATATCCTTGTCCACAAAGCACTCAAGACACTCACCAGCAAGGGGTATTTGAAGAAACATGGAAACTGGCAGCATGCTTGGTACTTTGTAACTGAAGAGGGAGATAGACTTCTTAGAGACGAGGTTGGTTTGCCCGAGGAAGACAGAGAATTAGAACAACAGGAAATAAAACATTAAATAAAATCAATTAAACGATAATGTGATATAAACGTTGTTTTCACATGTTATTTATTCAATCGCATCTGATGTGAACACAATACCATTTTTAGTATGTTAACTACAATGGTATTTAAAATTTAGTTTAAGATATAGTAATTTATTGCAACCCTATAAATCATAACTTTATAAAAGTTTAGGTCTCTAAAATAATGGGATATGTTAAGCTGATAATAATAGCAAGTACATAACTATGATAAGGGAGATCTTAATGCTAAAACACACATAACAGATCAAACAGTCCATTATCTCCTTACAAAACCATTAAACAAAGATGACATATTAATAGACATAATAGCTTTGCTCTTAAATATTTTATTTGAATAAAGAAATGGCTTCTTATTATAATATGACGATCAAATCGATTAGAAGCCACAGCTTTGTACACTATAATGGCAACAGATTTATATTCCTGCTAAATCATCAGGGGTTTGATAGTTCTGGAAATGTAAAATTAGTTATAAAAATGCGTTTTGGTCTAATGGAAGGATTGTTTGCCTCTGCAAATATTCTTTCCACAATACTGCTTATCGAACCAAATGAGCAATGTAGAATCTGTAGTGTATCTAAATCAGATGCAAGATTAAACAGAGATGGATGCATTCTCATGATTACTAGAATGACATACACAGTTCGAAGTGAACTATGGGATGAACAATTTACTGCAGCAGATGCTAGTTTTGTAATTATTATATCCAATACTATTGTACAACTCTTATCATTGCTTTCAATATTTCTAAAAATTGGATCTCTCAAACCATTCCTGTTCTGTGAATAATTGCGATCTATGCTAATATCTGATTTCAGACAAGTCAACTTCTCTTTACCTGACATATTCTCAACAACCTGCAGTAAAAATAGTAAAAAACCCTCAGATTCAACAAAATCACTATCAATTAACTCAATCAATGCACTATAAAAGCCTTGGTAGTAGAAACCGGAGCTAGACTGCAATATGAATATTATCATTAAAGCAGGCAACTTACATTCTGTCGAATTCACACATCTCATCAGTCCATCATACAGGAATCTACAGTCATTAACAAGAGGTAGTAGAGATTCCACTCTGTCCAACAGCTCTACACTAGGTTTGTTCATCAAAATATGATTTAGAACACGACCAAACGAGTGGATATCTCTTTGATACACAACATTACCATTCAAGTTCTTAGCTGCCAGTTCTACAAAGTGATTATAGCTCTTTATTTGAAGAGTATTTAGTAAGAAAACAATATCATCTAAATATTGTAAAATACGAGTATCTTTACTGGCAATTGCTTCACCCTCTGATACAAATTGTTTCAGTTTGAAAACTGTTTCAAACAGATCCCTTAGCAAAGAGTCTCTAGAGCTTTGCTCAATTGACTTAGCCATAAAAAGGGGTTGAGAAAATATATAAAAGTGCATTTTTACGTGTTGCAAAGGAGTTCAAACACCATCAAATATTTGATATATATAAAATAAAGCTTATTGGTTAATAGTTATAGTACCTCCAAAGCAAATTCATATGGTACCATATGTATTTTTCTTTATTAATATATAATGCATTTTAACGAAAGGCTGCTGTTTTGAAGGAACAAAATTTTCTGGCCCAATAAAGTTTTTCTATCCATATAATATTTTCCGAAAAGCTTAATATAAGACTCAATGCAATATTTATTAGAAAATTGAGACTGAGATTCTATATTTATTTGATAAGATACTACTATATACCGTGATGAAGCGTATGTCTCGGGGCAAAAAGTTTTTTTTCAATGATCTCAATTATTTATTACTATTTTTGATATAATAAAGCATTGTAGCATAGCAAATCTATACTATTATAATTCAACTTATTTACCTTAGACTGGTACATTCAGTTATGTAAAATGATCATTTTCCAATATATGTGTTTTAAATGATTTGTTACCCTTAAAATGGTCATTCCTAGCAAAGATTTCTCAGCTATTCATAAAAATTTGAAAAATTTGATCTGTGAATTTTTAGATTTCAAAGATTGTGAAAATATTGAAGTTGAAGCTCGATTGGGAAGAATAAATAGTAAGCTGACATATGAGAGAATTAGATTGTTTTCATCCCACCCAATAATCTTTGAAAAACTACCGTATGAATGGGAATTCAATGCAACAGTGTTGGAATCCGATTACAATAAAATTAAACAAGAATTTGAAAGGTATTCCAAACAGCCAGCAAGCAGCTCTGAGAATAAAAAACTGGATTATGTGTGTGAATCAGATGATAATCCGACAATGGGACTCTTCAATGAAAAAAGCGTTGAAAATACAGATTCATTGATTAGAAATATGATGGATGTCGACTCGAATACAGATGAGTATGGGATATTTGACAGAGTCGCATCTAATGATTGTGTAATGTTAAGTGATTCTGTCAGGAAGATAGATGAAGGGAACAAGACAAGATATGAGAAGAAGGTTATAATAAAAATGATCACTATATATTTGCCTTTGAGTGATTATGATATCAGAATAAGTATTGCTCGAGAAATTCCTGTAGAGCCTCCGAAGTTATTTAAAACAAGAATGATAAGGAGGAGGGAGAAGCATTCATTTACCTTTAAGGAGTTTGTTTTTGACTTCAAAGTGGTTAAATCAGCCAATATAACTTATGAAATCGAATTAGAAGTTTTAAATCAAAATTATCAAAAGGATGAGTTTATAAGATTGATGTTTGGACTGTTAGCAAAAGATAAATAAATTAGGTTGTATTTTTCTTAGGACTTTTGATTTTACTTGTAACTAATCAGGATTCTTCAAACTTTAAAAGAAGTATTTTTTTAACTGATTTAATTAAAATTGCCTCTTTTTACTGTCTATATTTTATAGTAACAGTACTACACAACAATCTGTGATATATCACCGGCTATAAAATGAATCTGTTCAATAAGGACCTTAACTATTAAATTAAAAATCAGCCAACTCATCAAAATGGATAGTACAGAAAGAAACATCACAATCAAATATTAAAAAGTAAAACTAAATATTTATTCTTGTACGGCTTCCATCAATCTTGCTCTTTCATTGGTCACAACTATTCCCAGAAGACGAGCCTCGTTTATTAATTGAACTCTTGTCCTTGCACCTACAGAATGGGCAACTGTAGCACAAAACCGTCTGTTTAAAGAGCTAAGAGCACGAAGATCATTTAAATTAAACACAACAACTTCTCTGAATCCATTTGGTAGAACATCCCTAATAACAGCCGGCTTAATAAATCTCTTATTGGGCATCACCGGTGTTCCGTTGTATTTCTTTCTACATCTTGAATCAAGACCTCTTGGCTTCCTCCATGACTCCTTAACTCTCATATATCTGTCAGAGTGATATCTCTTGAACGCTGGTTTCTTCTTGAACTCTTTCTTTAGTGTTAACAGTGGTGTTGGGCTTGAAAGAAGATCCATTGGGTAAAAAATAAAATAATAAATTTGTAAAATTTTTTCAAAAAGTATTTGAACATTTAGAAAATAAAAAGTAGATGAGTGATTCCATATTGGAACTAATAAGGATTGTATAGAATGGTATATTATGCTGTAAAAGTGATATATTACTATTGCTTTGGTTTATGATACATATGAAATTTGTGGCTGGGTATATCTGGATAGGTTTTAAATCATTAAAATAGTGTCAATTCAAATGAGCAATCGAAGGAATTTATTTAATCAAGATATTGACTAAACCATAAAACTTGATTAGTCCAGATAAGTGAGATTAAAATGATGTTGAATAGTCATTTTGAATAAATACTTTAATATTAACACTTTTATCATCTCAATCATGATATAGAATGGTATTAGCAGATAATTACTTTTATTCACTATGCTGACTAAATATTACTTGTTATTTAAATCAATAAATAATCCAATAAGAAGTAATTTTGATAGGGTGTGGAGAAGAAGACTCGTAAAACTATTTATAATCAACTTGAATGACCTTAAATTAATGTGCTGCTACTTTCATCAATCCCAAACTACGTTTACTAATCTCAACATCACGTTCACATCGTATTTTTAATAGACTGCATCTATTAAACTTCTATAACTATCCTGCTTCAGATAATATAGTAATTAATAATGATACTATTGTAACATAATGTTTAATAAATATTTATAATCTTCACAATAGTCAAGTTTTAACAGTATCGGGATATACTTTCTCTTTTAATACCATTGGAATACCTAAATAATCAGTTTTTACGATGCCATCTATTTTTATTTTGATAAATTTTTTATTTTTTAATCCTAAAAATGTTAAATCACAGAATAGAAACGGCTAGAAAAGTAAAAGTATCAAACGAAGAAGCAGATATCAGCACAATACACCAGAAAAAAGCAAAAACAAGGGATATTGGAAAAAATACATCGTGTATGGCAAAGAAAACTAAACAAATGGCAGACAAATTCATTGATTCTGGCAGACAAAGTGAAAAGTTCAATCTGAAATCAGAAAATAAGAAAAACACAGATCAGCAGAATGTTGAACTATACAAGACAAAAACAATACACAAAAAGGGGGAATCTGGTAAAAAACAAAAACAGCCTGCAGATTTTCAGAGCACCGAAGGCAATAGTCTTGGAAGCTTCAAGAAAAAAAATCCTCCTAAGAGAACAAAACTGGATGATGATAATTTCATTACTAAGACCAAAATACCCCATTCTTGTGGAAGTTCAATAGATTTTAATGTTTTAACTCAAAAGGAAAAGCCTGAAACGTCATCCTTTGTAGATATTGTTCCCAAATCTATCTTAAAGGAGATTCCAGAGTTTAGCACAACGAAGTATTTAGTTGATGGTGTCAAAGATAGTGAGATCTTGCAAATTTCTAATAATGATTCTCAAGGTGCGAGTTCGGAAAGTAATATTTTAGATACTGAAAATGCTAGTGGATCGAGTTTTAAGCACAATGTTCGATTTTCTAGAAAAGTTGTTACTTTTGAACCAAAAATTCAAGTTACACCAATTTCCTTTAACAACGGTATTCCTAGAAAACTGGTATTTCCCCCAAAGTGTACCTATGAAATTAAGGATTTAAAGATTATTTTATCAAAAAAATACAAAGATACGGTTAAAAAGGCCAAATACTACAAAAATATTATTTTTGATAAAAAATCCTTTATTCTGAAATATTGTAAAATGGACGATTTAAATTCTGATTTGAGACTGATGGGTCTCAAGGAGAAGACGTATGTAGAAAACAAGATTGTTGTGAATGGTATTGGATACAAGGAGACGGATGAATCTGTTTTTGAATATTTTAGTAATTTCGGAGGTGTTGAAAAAGTGTGCTTGGAAAAAAACTCTAAGGGATACTGTGCTGGTAAGGGCACAGTCACTTTTGTTTCAAATATTGATACAAATCAAGAGTTTGAATTGAACAATAGAATCCTCCGAATAGAAAGAATCAAAAAAGAGAAAAAGAATTGCACTAGATTATTTATATCCCACATCAACAAAGATATTAATATTTCAAAGATGAGATTGATTTTAAAGAACAATGGATTCATTGCCAAAAATATTAATATTACCCTGGGCGATAATAAGAAGAACCTGGGGTATGGATTTGTAGAATTTGGTAGTCCAGAATATGCCGAAAGGTTTTTACAAAATTATGAATTTATTTCTAAGTATCTGGGTAGTCAGAGTTACGCAGAATACTCCAACGAAAAGAAATAAATAATTTTTTAAACCTTTCAAAATGGCCTCAATGGATTAGAAGTTTTCAAAGCAATCTCTGACCATTGTGTTCTACCTTTCTCTTCAAAAATTTTCAAATAAATTGTCTAATATCGAAAATATATTTATGTTGTTGTAAACTTAGATTGATAAACTTTGTAATAGAAAATTTATTGATCAAACCTGAGAGTTTGTTAATTTAGGATCATGAACATCATGTTTTTTTATCCAAAAGTACAAACCTCCAAAAGAAATTACAGCAATTGAAAGATTTTTTGCAGTGAGATGAGTGAATGACAATATAGAAGAATCTTTTTCTTTAACGGGTGGATTCTCTACAGTTGAATTGTTATTATCATGCTTTGTTGTTTTCATGAGGCTTATATCATCTTCTGTATTACTATCAGAGTTTTCACTAAGCATCGATAACTCTTCAGAGTCATTATTTTCCAAGATCTCAACTTTGGTAGTATCTTTAACAAAAGTGGGTTTATGATAAATTCTTTTTCTGAGTATATAGTTTCCCACACCTAAATATTTGTTCGAGATACTGTCATCATTGGCACCTATGATCGCTCCTTTACTTTCATCATTCAAATCGATAACCGAGATCTCATCTGATTCATGGATTACATTAGTACTCACATCTAAAACCTCCTCATTGGATACTGAACTTTCATCGGATTCTTGACTTTCACTCAACATTAAAACATCTTCATTGGCTGCCAAACTTTCATCAGACTCATAGCTTTCATCTACTTCGTTACCATCGATCTCATCATCTTCTCCAAAATCTTGGTTAAAACTTCTACTATCCTCTTCATCTCCTAAGTATTCTGAGGTTTCCGAATCATCTGTACTAGTCTGATAATCTTCAAATATAAAAGTCCTTATTGAAACTGAGCCATTTCCTTGGGCTATATATTGTTTGTCATCATTTGATTCTTCACTATCCTCATCAGATGAATCTTGAATTTTAAATGAATTAAAAAATCCAAATCTGTTCTTGTTATCTGGAACTATTTTCTGATCTCCATACTTTTCGAATGTTGGAATTAAGTTCCATACTATCTGTTCTCGAGAAGTATACTTAATATTATTATTACTATACTCATCTAATAATCTCCTCTCATCTTGAGGCATTTTCTTGATATTAAATATTGCCTGCAAAGGATTAAAGTCTACAATTCTCTTGATCTTACTAAAATCAAGAGAAAATCCTACAATTGATTGTCCTCTAAACCCCACAATATATGTCTCTTTGGAAGTTGGTTCTCGTAAAAACATCAACTCTCCCTCTTCATTAGAATATATGTAGCAGTTTACCATATTATCCATCAAATCACCATCCTTAGAAGATACATTGGAAAGTCCTATATTGATAACTTTGTTCATACTCAATTTATAACGATTTTTAAGAATATTCTCATATAGTCCAAAGGATTGAAGACAATCAGAACAAATCTCTACTTTCTCTGGAAGAGAATAAATATCAGTTTTTCTTGGGGTTATAAACTCTACAATTCCTATTTTTGAACCAGAGGATACATACTCGCCTTTAATTTGACTAGAGCCCAAGCTATTAAGTTTAGATTTAGTTATTAATACTCCTATTTTTCTATAATCACAAACTGAGGTATAATTTTCTTTACAAGTCATCTCATTTGTAAATACTAGCGGCAGTGTTCTATAGTTCCTCAGTATTGCATATTCATTCTGGTCATAACACAATGATACTATTAAAAACATCATTGATTTTGAAAATGAAAGTTTCATGGGTATTAAAAAATATTTTTGTATTATTTCTTATATATTCAAAAAAACTGTTAATTAGTCTATTTCAGAGTATTAAAAATGAATGAAGGTGATATCTGTTTCTCCATGGAATTAGTCTTTTCACTTATAAATTAATCATTTAAGGAATATTCCGGAAGAAAGTAATTTTTTAATATACTATTTTTGTTAATCAAGAAGCTATTCTAAAAAGTGATTTTGTAGACTGACAAATAAAACTGTCTAATTTAAATTGCTACTATGTTATTAAAACTATTATTAAAATCTTTTTCACCATAATAAACACCACAGGAGGATTATCAAATGCAACTGGTACCTCAATGTTAATATCCCTGGCAACAAACTTCAAGGATAGATGATTATATTTATTGTACTAAAGAAATCTAATTTGAAGGAGGCGAATGTTCAAAGAAAAATGGTAAAAGAGTTAATATTGATCGAAGAGCTGAAATACTGACTAAGATTCCTATTGATATTTCATTAGCACGCATTTGAAGATGTTTTACAATTCTAAGAAATCACATAAACAGCCCATTGTAATGTTCAGGAATTTTACTCCAGAACAAATTCAAAAAGAATTAAACAATCTCTTAAGAACCAGAGAAGATAGAAGAACGAAAGAGTTCGAGGTTATGGAGGCCTCTGAAATTATAAATCTTTACTGCACAGAATTTTGTCCAGTTATTGAACAAATGACCAGAATGCTCAGTAAAGATGTGTCTAAATTTGAAAGTGAAAAATTAATTAAAAAATATTACAGAAGTATCGCCGGAAGACAGCATGAGGATATTGAGGATGTGCGATCTATTTCTGTTTTGGAAAAATGCTTCGAATTTTTAATGAATGTCTATAAATCTTCCGAAAAGACCGCAAAACAGAGAGTTGACGCTTATCGATTCGTAGACAATAGAATCAGAGCTATTAAATTGGATTTGGAGATTATAAGTCAAGAAATCCTTTTCCAGAATATTTATCAGCGTAGAATTAAACTATTGGAGATGATAATTAGATTCTATATTGTAGCTATATATAGGCTGTATCTTGTAGAATATGACCTACATTCTGTTATGGAACAGTTGAAAAAGACTGTTGCTACACTTAAGAATGCATATTCTGAAAAGGATGTTCTACATGAAAACTTTGATGAATTTTCAGGATATTATATTTTGTGTAACTTAGATAATCCTGATGTATTTGATTATTATGGATTGATTAGAAAAAGTTATTGTATAGAAGAAGACAAACCACTGTGTTATGGCTATATCAAGCAATGCTTAAAACTAGCACGATACTATCAAGCCAACACATTTTTTAGAGCTAACCTGGATGCCATGGCATACTTCATTTCCTTATTTTGGATAGAGCCAGCTAAGAGAAAGATTATGAATGCATTAAAAAACAGTTTGAATGAGAAAATTAATCTATCAAAGTTGACCAACATTGTTAATTTTGATATTGTTGATGTGTTGGAATCGTATTATTATGAAATAATTGAAGAAAAATCTATTGGACCTGGAATGATATCGAATAAAGAGGAAAAAACAAAAGGATCTTTTCATGGTACCCTTTTATCAGTAGACAAATCCCAAGGGAGTATATTGGATTCTCAAGATTTGAATGAAGATTTACAAAATATACAGAAATATGTTGATTTTAGAATAAAAAATACAAAAAGTAAAGATATAGAAAAGATAATACCAAGGAGTTTTCCTCTAGATAATTTTTTTATACACCGTGGCAATGTTGATTATCATACCTTTTTGAAAATTGCATCAGAGTATTTGAAGTACAGATTCGATAGTTTTGTTAAACTGAATCAAGAAACTGAATCTCACTTGCATCTGCAACCATCTATACCAAACAATACTAGTATCAAAAATGATGAGCTGGCGTTGTTGATGCAGGATCTACCAAAAAATAAAATCACAAACAATATATCAATATCCTATAGTCAGGAAATGAGACAGACAAGATTTCACAGCTTCTTCAGAATTAAAACCTTTGAGCAGACTATTCGTGGATACTTGATGCTGAGAATTGAAAAATATTTTTTTCAGAAATATTTAAAATCAAGATTGAAAAATTCGATAGGATTGAAGGTTCTAATGGTTTTGGATAGAGACATTGATGTGGTAGATTTTAGCAATGCGTGCTATGTTCGTTCTGATTTGTTCAGTTTGGCTCTGAATGCTAATTTTGCAATCGAAACACTTAGATCATTTTCTTATTTTTATGAGCTGGTGTCTCTAAGAGAGCTGACGGTAAAAGAAGCCATAAAGTACAACTTAGCATTCTTCTTTACAACACAGCAGAAGTTTGTGGAGAGGGAATATTACATGCTGAACAAAATAGTAAATCCACAGTTGATTGATGGCTATGGTAATGTTAAAGGAAATATTTCCTTAGAACGATGTATTTTACTTAGTCAGTACAAAAGACTTAGAATTGCAAAGTTGAATGATTTAAGAACACTTGAAAAGCTGGACTATTTGATTCGATTAAGAAAAATGAATGAAGTAAGAGAAACAATGGAGCAAATAATCTATGACATTTTGAAGGGTAGAGACCATCCAAATATAGATGTTTATTTGGAAAGCATAGACTAGAATATGTATAAGATACTAATCTAATAGTATTTTTAGTGTAAATGGGTTCATGATAAATTTATTAGTCTACATAGGTGAAGTTTTGTTTAAGAAATTATTAAAATATTCATCTATAGATTCCTTGTTTTCCAGAATTCCCATTTCCAGAAAATAATTAAATACTTCAGACAGATCTTCTTCTACTGGACCAATTTTTATGATAACAAATTCATCTTTTTGAAAAATATTAATGAATACTTTGTCAATTTTAATTGATCTGATTGTATCCCTGTAATTTAAATTGGCAATAGAAATAGAAGCAGCTGCAATATTGTAAAAGAGTGGGTTGATTTGATTAGATGAATAGATTATTGAAGAATTTTTGAAAATTGAAAATGAATTCATAAGGGGGTTAAGGAAGTGTACGTGTTTAGACATTTTAGTGTATCTATCATGACCCAATGATTTATTGGAAATTCAAAAACTAGGATTGATATAGTAAATACTAATCTGAATTTATCACCAATAATGTTATTAATTGAATGATATGCATCATAGCTTTACGGTCTGTAGTTTATGGAAGTAAATATCTCTTCCAACCAGAATAAATATTTTGTATGGTAGATACTGCATAGTACAACTATATCCTTTTTAAGCAAAGTTGTGATCAAAAAGGCCTAATATACCAAATCATTTCAGACAGAATTGCCTCTTTATCTGGCAGCATAAAGGTTATTACGCATTTTTTTAATTTCACAACATATTTTATCCGGTATTGTGTTTGTTAATAATATTTTTGTTATAATTCTAGTATGATAAGTCTCGGGATTGAACTTACTTATCAATCGTGACTATTGATTTTAGAAGTGTTCTTTCATTAAATACATTAGTTATTGGTTTTTTAATATGCTCGAACTACATTGTTTAATTTATTTGTGTTTGATTAATCCATTTCTCCACAACATAAAAAGGGCTAAACTCTGCGTGGATAGGATCACTAACTCCTTCACCTTTTGATCTTTGTTGACTTTTGTATTTATTTTAAAAAATAAACAATATATATTTGAAATATATATTTTTTAAAAAAATAAAATTTCTGAAAATACATAAAATTACAACCCATGGACTTGGATATTTCGACAATACTTAAAAATTTTGAGAACTCCTCAAGTAGGAGGGATAGTTTGAATATCTCTGCTATTCCTATGCCGCCAGTAGTAGAAAGGTCAAAAAGGGTTGAGATGAGATATATTCCCACAACACCTTACAAGATATTGGATGCACCTGGGATTATTGATGACTACTATCTGAACCTTTTGGACTGGAATAACAGCTTAATTGGGATTTCTCTCAAGGATACCGTCTACTCCTTTAATACCGATTCTGGGGATGTTAACGAGGTATATAACTGCAATCAAAATTCGCACTCACAAACCGACAACAGTTCATATATATCTTGTGTCAAAGGTCAGGATGGCAAATTGGCTATTGGTGATTCTGCAGGTATCTTGAAAATATTTGACTTTACAAGTGGTAGATTTATCGAAAATAGAAAGTTGCACGATAAAAGAATATGTGCAATGTCGTTCAATGATAGAATTTTGAGCTCTGGGGGAAAAGATGGGAAAATTTGTAATATTGATTTTAGAATGAATTATCCAACAACTTTTATCGGACATTCCGAAGAGATCTGTGGGATGAAGTGGAGTCCTACCAACGAGTATTTAGCAAGTGGAAGCAATGACAACAGTGTGAAGATTTGGAAATTGGGATATCCAATGTGTAAAACCCTTAAGGGGCATTCATCTGCTGTTAAAGCAATGGACTGGTGCAGCTGGAAGAGCAATACACTGTGCACTGGGGGTGGTTCTAAGGATAAAACAATAAAGTTTTGGGATATTTTCAATCAAACACCGCTGAAAACAATTGAAACCGCTAGCCAGGTATGTACTATGCATTTTCTTTCTAATTATAGAGAATTAGTTACAAGTCATGGATTTCAAGAAAATTCATTGAAATTGTGGAAATGTTCAAACATGTCTCTACTTAAAAATTTTGGAACCCACGAATCAAGAGTTCTTCATACAGCAATTAGTCCAGATCAGATTACCGTTGTTAGTCTTGGTGCTGATGAATCTTTGAAGTTTTGGAAGATAGGTGAAAAGAGATCTGAAATATATAAGAGACCTAGTATAAATGTAAGGTGAATAAAATATTAATTGGATGTTTGTGTAATTTTAAAGTTTTTGCAAAAGATATTAAACTCATTCCTTCAAAGCAATTTTTTTGATCAAAAATGCAATAACATATTAAGAGTAAAAAACCCAATAAATAGAACAGAAAAGTCATCAGGAGTGTACAGTCAAACAGTAGTGTTTCAAGAAGTAGATATGTGGATTTCTAATTTTACTTTAAACATTGCATTATTTGGTTATGTAGAATGAAGCAGCACTTTTTACAAGCTTCTATTTTCTGAAAGATTGTTCAGCTGCCAAAACGAAACTGAGTAGTAATATATTCATTGATAAGAAATCTGTCACTTATCTATTAAGTGAGGATTAGGCTTCTAAGTTGTAAATACCCTTATAATATACAGAAAAGAGTTATTTAATCCTTTAACTAACTAATTGTATATATTCATTTAAGTTTTCTTAAATAGTTTGATTTATNAATAGTTTGATTTATTAACTATTGAAATATATTTAGCCCATCAATGAACTCTAAGGACGATAAATGTCCTGATAAAGAGGCTTCACATTTTATAAAGATTGGTATAAAGGAAGGAATTGAAGATATTTATGATGAGTCAGATTTGTTTGTTCGATATGGCATGCTATTAGCTCATGGATCTGTTAAATTTGATAAGGATGTTCTCTCAGATGACTCCAAGATTTACTCAGTAATCAGAAAAGGAATTAATAAGAAAAAAACAATGGATTGGTAATGTCTTGGAGATATTGGAAAAGCTATAAATATGAATTGATAGTGATGTATATATCTGTAATAACAAAATGGGACTATGGTTGGGTAAAGTTATGGAATGGGTTAAATAATTCGTTCAATTTTAG